AGTATACACAGTATCTGTGTTACTGCTCCTTTTTAATGTATTTTTTCAGTATACTTCATACATGGGAAATAAGTCAAGAGTGACCTACAATAGCACGGGCAGAAACCACTGAACGTAAAAAAAAACAAAACAAAACAAGAAGAGATTAAATACCAGCAGAAGTTATACTGCATAATCACAATTGGAACTGTGCGTAGAGTGCAAAATAAAACAGTGGGCAACCTAACTTTACTTTCCTGTACTTTAGTTAATATATTGAGTTATATTAAGTGATTTCATGTAATTTTTAGTTTATATTTGGTTACTCTTGTGAGAGCTTGATCAAGTAAAGTGAAGAATTTCATTTTAATCCAAACAGATCTTGACTATTTCTTTGACTCTTCCTCAGAAGCATAGTGGTTTATTTAATTTAGTAGAAGACAATTTTATTTTGCTAATGAATTGAATGCTTTTGAAATGAAACCTTTTGCTGACCTTTTTATTTTAGTCTTGTTGTTATGTTGCAGATTTGTCAAACTTCATTGAAGTGTCTTCATTGAAAAAATAGTAAACATTTGGCTTTATAGCTTATATTAAGATCTTTCACTTCATTTCATTTACTCTTGTGAAGGAGTTGAAATACTCTCACTAAGTATGAAATTAGTGGCAGGCATTGATCATACTAAAAATTTTAATTCCCAAAGTCAGAGACTGAATTTTTCAGGTGTTCAGCAGAATCTTCCCTCTTTGAACTACAAGCAGGGGGATTTTTGGAGTCGAGATACTCATGGGAACTTATAAAGCACTTCTGTGATTTTATGGACCTTTTTTGTCTGAAGATTGCTAAACAGAAGTTCTGTTTTCTCTACGAATCTTCAACAGACTAAACAGCTGGATATGTGAGATCAGTTTTCCACTTTCAAATGCTTTACTTTTAGTTTCAGTCTTGGTCATCATTGTCTGTGATGAATTTTCAGCAAACTCATATTGATTTTGTGGCTCTGATCATCTGAGTTGGTTGACTTTCATCTTCTAGCTGTGCCAGAATTCTCTAGGTGTTCTGAAAGAGTAAAGTAGTCCTGTGAAACATTAGTTTATCCTGAATCTTCAACTTCTCCAGCACTTAAGTCAAAATTTCCTAAAGGTGTAACAGCCTTGAAGTCATTCTCATCCCTGAACGTAGCTTTCATTTCTTTAGCTTTTTCCTGACTCGGTCTATCTTTAGATCTGGAAGACTGCCAAAATGTATTTATGCTTTACCTTGACCTGTGTTTAATTAAGTTGGGAGTAATTTCTCCTGTAATTAGATATTTGCATTTGAAGTTTTCTTGTCTCTTCCTGAGCCGTGAAAAATAAAAGTAGAAAGACTCTGCTACCTCATGTTTCCAAGTTTCTCACTATTAAGTCATCATCAGAAATTTGAAAATGGAGTTTGATAAGCTTATCATTCTCTGCTTACTGGATTGTAATGCTGCTGTTGTTCTTTGTCTCTTGCAGAATTCAACACGGTTTTACTTTTGTTAACTTGCCTATGTGCTGGGAATCTTCTTGTTGATGGCCTTTTCTGTGTTACCTAGTTAACAAACTTGTGGTGCAGATGACTAAGAGTTATGTACATGCCTTTAAAAGTCACAATTTTTGTTTAAGGAATCATATCAGTAATTGCAAAATAATAATTGGAGCAGAATTCATGGGACTACTTTAATGATTCAAAAGATGTTTTACCAAACAAAGCAGTAATTTTAAAAAAGAACATGGAAGCACAATTCATGGAGTTAATACTTAACTTTTCAAACACTAGCTTATAATATTGAGGAATTTCTATGTCAGTGTTGGTCAGCTTCAATTCAAGAGTTTTGTATAGCCAAACAGACTATATGTAACTTTTTAAAATTAATAATAGTTTTAACATACATTTATAGATTTGTGTTTCTGCAGGGTGTGGCGCAAGTGGATTTGAAAATGAGAAGTTTTTTTAAAAGACTTTCCCTTAGGCAATTTTTAAAAACCTCCTAATTTGCACAGATGAATTTTGAATGTACAAGTGCACTCGTGTGTAAGAATTAATGTTTTTCTACTTTCCTGTTAGTGAGTTCCCTAGGTTAATTTACCATCCAGAAACACTTATTAACATGCTAGCAGTATACATACTCTGTATTTTTTGCCTCTGTAACACTATGTAAAGTGTTTGTGTGTTACATGTTGTTCAGTTTCTACTTCACCTGCTATTTGTAGCCTTGACAAGAAACCAAAGTAGTGTTGAGTACAAAGAACAGAGAATCCTAACTCCATATTGAAAATTTTTTTAAGGTTGTTTTGGTTGGGGTTTTTTAATCACACTATGCTACTGTTTGTGTGCATATTAAGATGTGAAGGGTTTGTGTTTGCAAACTCTGCTAGGCTGTGTCATCATGCAGAATAAGTTTTGTTATCTTCATTCAAGTGAAGCCAAGTTGGCTCTTAATGTATTTAGCTACATGAAGCAACTGCATTATCAATAGAAGAATTGGGCTAAGTCAGATTGGCTCCTAATAAGGCCAAGTAACTGGAGTTAAAATCATTATCACACTAGTATTAAGGATCTTGATGTATTAATCCTGCAGTGAAAAAACATCTAGAAAGTTTTGCTGGCAAGCAACTGCAGACTGTACAGTTTCAGTAGAGCACATGCACACTTAGCTGCTTCTGCCAGCAAAATGTAGTGTAGATTAGGATGGATATCCAAGCAGGAGAATTTATAAAAATATGTTAATGTGTCCAGCCGGTTCTGTGTGTATTGGCACAATTTCATTCTTTCTAAAAGGCATAAAATTCTTACAAAGAATATATACAACTGTTGTCTATATAGCTCTCTATATCTCTGTATATCTCCAGTTATTCATTATTCTTTGGTAGGTGTATATGTACATGGATTATTCATGGCTGATAAAGCTCAGTAGTCTCTGGAACACTAAAATTAATGAGAATAATGAGAATTTGGAATTCTCTGTGACATACTATGCTTGCAATTGTGAGCTAGAACTGATTAAAGTCACAGTATGATTAAAACCCTTCCAAAATCTTACCATTGTATTATTTTTAAATAATCAGAAAATTAATTCGATTCTTAAGGATGTAGAAAGCAATAATCCCAAGTGGTGGTATGATATTATGATTTATGAAGGACATGCCCTTTGTTGTATTTTGAGTGATAGATATACAACAGAGCAGTAACTAGAAAGTAATTCTTATAATGTCTTTTATGTGTCTCACTTTGAAAATATTTAAGAATGTAGTTAAAACACAACAGTTGAAAAAGAATGAGTTGTATATTCACTAATTATGAAACTACCCACTATTTAATTTGAGCAGCATGTAGTAGCTACTGTCCATCCTTGCAGATTGTTAGCAATTAATTAGATAACAAAGAGCTTGCACATTGATGTTGGGAGTCACAGCTAAGGAAAAATTATTCAACATGTTGCCTTATTCTTAGATTTTAACTGTAATTGTTCAGCATATCCACCATCTGTCCAAGTGACTCATGCCTCTGGCTGTACTTCTGCCAAAGTAAAGATTGTGGGCAGTCATGGAGTATTCACAACAAAAATGTGAAGTGTTATGAAGTGAAAAATGAGATGAGCTTTGAGTTATCCATCCCTTTGTATGTCTTCTTTACTTTTTTATAGATTTTATTTATTAAAAACATACTGTTCAAATTGTTTAGGCAAATATTAGTTGAGTTGGAATAGTCTGTTATACTTCCATGCCACACATCAGAAAGCACATAAATATATGGATATATCTCTTGCTGACTATAAACATACATCGAAGTTACAGGTTGGCTAATGGACATTATGGCTAACGAAGGAGCCAACACTTAATTTCTTCTCTGCTGCATAATATAGAATCATAGAATCGTTCAGGTTGGAAAAGACCTTTAAGATCATCAAGTCCAACCGTTAACCTAACACTGCCAAGTCCACCACTAAACCATGTCCCTAAGCACCACATCTACACATCATTTAAATACCCTGGGGATGGTGACTCAACCCCTTCCCTGGGCAGCCTGTTCCAATGCTTGACAACCCTTTCGGTGAAGAAATTTTTCCTATTATCCAATCTAAACCTCCCCTGGTGTAACTTGAGGCCGTTTCCTCTTGTCCTATCAGTTGTTACTTGGGAGAAGAGGCCGACCCCCACCTTGCTACAACCTCCTTTCAGGTAGTTGTAGAGAGTGATAAGGTCTCCCCTCAGCCTCCTTTTCTCCAGGCTAAACAGCCCCAGTTCCCTCAGCCGCTCCTCATAAGACTTGTTCTCTAGACCCTTCACCAGCTTCATTGCTGGTTGCTTACAATAATTATATTATTATAATATTATTATTTTTTTTTTTTTTAATTTTATGTGAACCCTTATTATTATGGTTTGGGTTGGGTCTTTTTTACAGGATGATATCACCTAAAGATCCCACTCAATTTTACAGCCTGTTGTGCTTGGTGAAATATCAATATGAAATATGAAAAATAGATTGGCAGCTGGAAACTCTATTTTGCTATTTTAAGTCAGAGCTTGAAAATTTTAGGATGTGTAAATGTCTTTTGTCTGACTGCCATCTCCAGGCTATTGTCTAGAACAAAGAATCCAATGTAGGCTTCATACCTGCAAGCACACCTCTTGCGTACCTGTAGTCTTGTTCAGCTCATTGGGTCACTTAAACTTCCCACAAGTTACAGTCATTGGGAATATTTTCTGTGTTTGTTTTCATCTAAGGGTTTTGTTCTGTGTTGAAGGTTTAGTCCATTCAAAAGGAAGGCTGCTTCTAATAACAGCAGGGTCTCTGTTGGAGACAACATGCCTCTGGCTTGTGCTGTGTTAATTCTGTTCTCAAAGAGATGAATTTGAGGCAGCAGCAGTACAAAACCACCTCTTCCTATGTTTTTACCAGCACTGTATCATTTTGCTGCTGTTATAATTAAACCCATAGTCTTAATTTGTATGCTTACAAAAGCTGAATGTCTTAATTCTTTCTTTTATTGTATCAGGCTATGTTTGATGCTTTGTCCGATCTCCCTGAGTGGTATGGTATAAAAGAAATGCAAGCAAATTGGATAGGTGACTGTGTTGGATGCTATCTTGACTTCTTGCTAAAGGTAAGTCAGAAATTTCAATACTGCTATCTTGGTTGGGCTAACCGGAACCCCTGAAATGTGTGATGTGTGAAATGGGAATGGGTTTTCAGATCTAAAAAGCTTGAAACCTACTAAAAGAGGTTATTATGTGTTCATGCCCACACCAGCACAGATTCCCCAAGAACACCACTTGTGGGTTGAAGAGATACTCCCTGCTATCCTCCTTAGGAAAGGGTTTGTGTGTTCAAGCACAACATCGGATGCAAACTGGCTGTGTGTATTATGCCAAAATACATGCCAGCTAATAAGCATTCCTGAAAGCCAGGGCATTTAGGGGAGCAGTGCCAACAGCAGTATCAAGAGGTACTGCCCGTCAGCTGGGATCTAGCTGGGCTTTTGCTCCTCCTTGCACAGTATCTTCTCTGTCAGACCCAGGCTGACCTCAGGCGAGTCCCTTTACTTAGATTTGTCCATTATTTCATGTACTACATCCGATAATTAGAATAATGAAAACCACACAGTTAGGTAGTGATGGACCTACAGAGAAGTCTAGATAGAAAGAAAGGAGAGGAAGGAAAAAGAAACCTTAAGAAAATTATAATCGTCTACAGAAGGACTTCAGATTTTCCCATTTTTCTCAAGAGATGCAAAAGGCTTCTTGAATACAGTAGTGACAGAAGAGATTTTCAGAGACCTGATGGAATTTCAGCCCTTGTGCTTCAAAGCTTTATTGTACTTATTTACTTTGGTATAAGATTTTAAAAGTGACTTCTTATTTTAAAATACTGAATTTTTGGGAACTTCAGATTGAGACAGCTTAAGCTTTCTTAATACTTCTGAACCAGACACTGCTAGAAGGTGCATTTTTGTATTTAAGTTGTTTTTATCAATTGTTTCTGAAAAGGTGTATCAATACCTGTTGTAGAAAAATCTCCTTCTTAGATCCCCATACACTCCACAGTTAATTGATATAAAGCCTGTTGATAGCGCCAGGTGGTAATTCTTAAGCAGTCTTCTAAGTTTATTACTTGTATTTTATGTCCAGTTGTTTTAATGTTGTCCCGCCTTTTATTATTTTATTCCTGTACATAAGTTGCAGCATTGACTTCATCAGAGAAGTGTGGTAGAAAGCCTGGTAGCTGAAAAATCTTAAATTTTTTTTAGATTTCAGAGGTTACATCTCATTTCTGTTTCTTGGAAACAGGGCATGTGTATTAAAAGTGAATAGAAGGATTCCAAGTTACTTAGCCAAGGATTAAATCTCTCTCAGTAGCACAATGTTATATATACCATAGGATATTAGAAAAAAAATTTTATAGATATATCTGGATAAACTGAGGCAAGACTGTAAAGCAACTTTCTCAGGGTCTTAAAAGTAAATTTTGTCAAGGTTTGATTCTGTAAACTCCCTACAGTGGGAATGCATCTAGCTTTGATATTCAGAACTGTGTATTTCTACAGGGTGATGTAGATTTGTTAGTTGCATAAAAAGGAAGGGGAATGTAAAACCACTGCACTTCCAGTGGGAATTTTCCTGCTCTTTTTCAGGTTAATGGTGAAGTAACAGGAGAGAAGCTAGCAGCTTACACCTATACACCTGAAGCCATCTATGGAGCTTCCCATTTATATATCTTACCAACTCACAGACTGCTGCATGGGAATAGCAGTCTCAAGGAAGTCTTTCAGAGGGAGTTCGTCCCAGGGAAAGGTGATATTTTTCTCATACTGCATTTTTTTGTAGAAGACTAACAATTTTAGAGAATGATCTTCAGAGAATGTGTGTCAAGCTGAGCAGGAGCTGTTCCTGTTGAGAGGGAACAGGTCTTCTGATTCTTGGTATATGTCAAACAGTATCACATCAGCCTGTTCTGGCTTCAGATGTGGTACAAGCAGCTACGTTAGAATTCTTCCTTTTACCATGGCTGTAACACTTCATAGTATATAAAAGCAATGGAACAGATTTTTGTTTCCTCATGTACCAGAAGTGAGCAGTCCAACTCTGACTGTGTCAGCCCATTGGAAAATCTCACAGCTGTATGGTAATTTGTCGTTAGCACAAAGACAGCAGAACCAACTCTTGCACCAGTGATGATATCTTCCTGTCGTAAGGAATATAAAGAGGGCAACAGATCACCAATACATAGCAAAGTGGATCACTGATAGATAGCAAAATAATACTCTGCTTTGCAGATCCTTAGTTAATACAAGACTCTAATGGAATAAATTCAGAGTATCCCTATGGCAGGTCATGACTTGTACAGAGGATACAAATAAGTGTTAATTCTTTAATGGGTGTTAACTGGTTTCCTGAAGACTCCTACTACCAATTTGGCCTGTATTTAACATTCCTGGCCTACTACTTTTTTGTTGTTTGGAAAACCTGAAAATTACAAGAGTAAATACAATGTATACTGAATATTTTTTGTTTCCACTTTAGGCTGGTGTTCAATATTTATTTTTTTCCTCACTGGTAAAGATGAGGCTTCATTGACTGTATAACATCTGATGTCAACAGCAATGAAGCAGGAATCTTGCGGGAAATTGTGATGGTTGTACAGAACCTGCTTTATTTTCAAGTGCTTAATTTCTGTAACCTTAAAAAAAAGTTTGTTTGCTAGCAGAAAAAAATGGAGCCTGAATTTGTTGAGTGTGTAAGAGCCCTTGTCTCGGGGCTGAGCAAAGCTTGGAGAATTTTTGTTAAGGAACAAAGGAACAAATTTGCAGTTCTTACAGTTCAGCCAAATCAAAGCACTAACCGCAAAACGCACATTCATGCATGTGCCTGTGTCTTTGTTGGATCTTGTGCTTTAATCCAAACCACACAAGTGCAAAATTTGTTTTTAATACGGGCAACAGTATATTTTTTACATTGTTTTTACATGGAAATAATTGGAAAGGCTTTTTTGTGTCTGTTAAAATAAACTTCACCTTTTGGTTGAGCTAAAGAAACTCTGATTTGGAATAATGACAGCCATAAGTCCTTGAAAAAAAGGCACAATTCCAGAATCATAACTCTGCTATTGTTGTGTACTCCTGCTGCTTGCAAATACACTTATATGCATTCTGATATGCAGTTGAAATTGGCTGATATTTCTTACTATTTCTTGAGCATTTCAAAGGCACAGACTGGTATTTTTCAAAGAAGAGAACATAAAGGAGAAGAATTTCTACATGGACTTTCAGATTTGCATTTCAGCCATGGTACATATGAAGGGCCAACAATGGCATTTAAGTAAAAAGAAATTTTGAATGGCCTTGAATAGACCATATTTTCACGTTAACCAAGATTTTTTAAAAAAAATCACCAGTAACATTAAAATTTTAATTTAATTAATTGTGATTGTCTTCTTTTCAATGGAGATAGTCTTGTAACTCCCTTTTTTTGACTGTGTTATCATTTAAATAATTAGGAGGGTATGTTTTTGTTTTCTAGGCAAGAAAAAAAAAAAGCTGTTGTATGGCAAAGTAACTTAAAGTTCTAATACCTTTACTCTTGGAATACAGCTCTGTATTTCAAACTATTACTATTTAAATAGAGGTGAGCAGCCAGTTTTCAAACATTGAATTTTTTAGCCTAAAAAAATTTATGTTAATTTAGAATCTGGTAAGTCTTCTAGTTTTGACAGCGTGAGGTGTCTGAGATTTGACCCTTAAGTTGCTCATTATCTCATTATTAACACTATGTGTACATTCTTTTACATCTGTAACTGTAATACCATCTCTTTACGGCTGTTTTAATAATGATGTGAGCAAATGAGCACAAGAAGGGGTGCCTTCATAAACTGAAGTTACTCTTTTGGGTTCCTTCATAAAATTATTGCTGGTTGGAAGAGAGAAATTATTTTTAAAAGCAGACTGTCCTACCCACTCAGCTTCCTGTTCATGAGACTTTTTGGGTAGTTGATTTTAAAGAGTGAGATGATTCCTTTTGTACTTTTTTTTTTTTTAAACAGAGGAGGAAAGCTGTGTGCAGTGGTTTGAATGTGAGAAATTTTCTCTAGAATCTGGATATCTCAGACACCTGAAATTTCAAAAAGTAGTAATCAGAAATAAGTAAATATATCGCTTGTGTTAAGAAGAGTGATGAGATATAGTAGCCCTGTTCTCTAAAATGCTGGTACTTTATTTCAAGCAGATTTTATGTGTTGCAATACAAGCCTAAGCTGTCTGTATTTTAATTATTTTAATTATCATCAACTTAAAGGCACTGAAAAAGTTAGAAACAGGCCCAGATTGAGATCTGGGGTTTGAATCCTCAGAAATTGGAGCATTCAGGTTTTATTTTCTTCTTGTCGAGCCACCCAAGCTACACATTGTAAATCAGTTTCAGTTTATCACAGTTCTCGCCCTTGATTGTCTCCTCTCTCCCCTTCCCTGTAGACATTGGGTTCCTCATCTCTAATATTAATATGAATATTCTGTTTGGAAATCAATAGGTTATTTAGGTTGGCTTTTTTTTTTTTTTACACTGGTCAATATTTCTTTTGCTTTGTAGTTATTCTGTAAGAAAGCAAATAGTAAGTGTAAGATATATGCTCGCCTCCAGTTTCATCTGAATAACTGGATTTTTTTTGTGTAATTTTGTAATAATGTATGCTAGTATATAATTCAGGACTTAATAGAGCTTCACAGCAGGCCTGCATTTTGGCCAATGAATCAATTTTTTTATTACAATCCAAATCTTACTCTGGCTTTTTTCAGGTGTTTATTATGTTTTCTAATCATGAAAATATATCAGTCGGACTTACTGAAGATTTTGATATGTCCGAGCTTTTTAGAAATGTGATTAGGCTTTTCATTTTCGTTCTTTTTAAAACAAAATTGTAATTCAAATTTCATGCATGTTTAAGATAAATTGAGTTCTAACAGTAAGTAACGTTCTTAGCATATCTTCTGTCATATTTTGCTTACCATGTTCATTACATTTGTTTTCAGACTCACTCACTTCAGTGATAGCTGTGAATTTGCTTACCGATCAGGAGATTCCTGTAGTCATTTCAGCAAAAACCAGTTTTGGGAATTTTCTTGATACTAAAATAGGTATGTGACATTTAATGTGTAAGTAGAATAGTACAGTTTTCAGTTGCTGCATTGGAGCATGAGATACCATTGCGGTAAATCTTTGAACACAGTGGCTCTCTTCTCAACTTTGGAACTCTGTTCTTCATTCCTGTTCTTCATTAGTGAAGAAGGCAGGGAAGAGTAGCTATGTGGGATCTGTCTAGGGGAAGAGATTTACAGGATGATAAATTTTAATGGAAACATTATAAACTTAGTATGTTTAATGAGCTGAATTTGAGGAACTGCATATCTTAAGAGAATTGATTACTTAGAGTGCATGTGTATTTGGCTGTCTCTCACCATCCTTAATCAAAACAGAACTGTACCATTGTTTGACATAAATATTTTGAAAACAACCCAAACTTTTACCTTTTTTTGTCTTACGTTTATGTAAATTATGTGCATCCTTACAGAGAAATGTTTCAGACAGTAAATGTACAAAACTTCCAAGTTTGACTTTTATCTGATAATATTTGTGTCGAGGTCAGTAAAATAATTCAGAATAGGTAATAATTCTGTTCAGGTAGTCTTGGACAGTTATCTTGGATCCTTTATCTCTAAAGGAAGCATTCCCATAATTTAGGATTGAGAATCCATAAACGGAGGGGGAAGGTCATTGCTAGAGGATACCCTGAATCGTCTGGAGTGGGCTTCTCTTCTCAAAGTTGTCCTATGAAGCAGCCTGTCTTACCCCTTTCCTGCACAGGGAGCGTGGCCCCTCAACGTGGGCAGCTGAGTGCATGTGGTTAGGTGATGTGACTGTCCTTCTAATGAAAATCAGAAATTGTACTAACTTTTAAAAATGGTGTCAGTTTTAATCTGCACCCACTGAGCTTTTTTGTTTACTCTTGTGTTTTGCTGTGGTCTCATCTCCGCTGCATTGAGCAGGCAATGTTCTGTGCCAGTCCTAATAGGAAATAGTTATCTCTTCTTCCCCCTTTCCACTACCTCCCTTATCCTTTAACTCCCTTTTGTTGCCTCCCTGTTGTTGATACTTCTTTCCTGCCCTGGAGCTGCTGCTTGCTTTTCTACACCACTGCCAATATTGGCTGTTCCCGTACAACAACTGGACTGAATAAAACCAGCTGATGGTGCAAAAATCTCTTGGATGACCCTCAAAAGGCTGATGGAAATTACCCACTCGTGCTGTATACCTTACTTAACAACATGCCTGCATCTTACACTTTAGAAATTAATCTGGTTTTGAGACCCAGAGCCTTTCCTGATGGAAGAAAAGCCAAATAATTGAGATACCTAATCTTATTTTTCATTGAAAGCTTCCAGCTGGCTCACTGGCCCATCCCTTGGCCTTACGTCTGTTGGAAACAGCCCAGCTCTTCCCAGGAAGTTCTGGATGCCAGCTGTTGAGCTTTGCGAATGTACATTAATAGCATCATCTTTTCAAAAGGAGGAGGACCAGAAAGTGGGACCCGCTTTTTTCCATTTGTAGAGCATATTGTGAAGCCACCTGTTGCAGGCTGCAGGGCTCTTTGACGAATTAAGATACTTGCATTATTCTATAATAGGGCCTTGAAACGGCAGGAGCATACATCTGCTGGAAAGATAAAATAGCGACTCCGTATTTTGCTAGTTGAGGACTTACTTGTCACAGGGGAGTTCTGCTTGGTTTTCTCTAGTTATCTGCTTCCAAACTTCCATGTATTGACAGAGTTAACATATAGCAGGCATTTCATTGCCTGAACAAAGATGATTGTTACGCTGGTTTTGAATGAAGTAGTTTGTATGTTAATAATTCTAATGTGCTCAGCAATATTTGAGAGTTTTTGTCTGTAGTTTTCACCAACTTAATGTTGGCATTGGCTTGTCGGAATAAATTTCTTTGCCTTTTAAAGATGACAGCAATTGTGCAAGATTGTTCAAAATGTTAAGTAAATTATCACTGAAAGGAAAAAATGTGCAGAAAGATGTATCTCTTCTGTGGAAGTAAAAAATCTGTTGTTATCTCAGTGTTATTTCAGAATACATGTGATGACAAAGTTAAGAAATTTCTTAACTCATCCTGAAAGGTAGTCCTCCAAAGTAGAACTAGGATGTATGACTGTCCCAAATAATAAGATGCAAAGGGAAAGATAGCATCAGGGGCCTTAAGTACTGTGACTTCTATAACTGTCATGAGCAGCAGTAGGAAGTGCTCTCAGTTGTTATATTCTGAATAGAAAATTGATGTTATTTGAATTGTTTTCCTGACTTTATAAACAAATCATGTTGTTCATAATAAGTTAAAGGGATAGTAATGTTAGAGACTGTTGTGTTGTGGTACATTTTAATAAACTATGAAATTAGAAAGAGATTAAATTTACTATTGAAACAAGACTATCTTGGCTGTTTGTTTAGTATTTGTTTCTCATATTAGCAAATAATTAAAATTTGCATTATTTAAATATATCTAGATAATATAACTGTATTGAAAATTTTATTATTTATCCAAATTTTGTAGGTTTATTTTTAGGCTTTTTTGGAACCGTCAAATTTTCAGCCTTTTCTGAGGTAGGACATTGATGAACATTTGGATTACAGAGAAACTGAGAAAATGTGTTTGTAATTATTGCTGCTTGAATTTCACTGCTTAAAGAACATGAAAACTTTTTTATTGTTCTTAGATTTTTAAACTCCTTTGGGCAAACATAAGTCTTTATAATGACAGCATCATAGAAATAATACATTTTATCTTCAAACTGATGATTGATATCCATGTTAGTCAATCCCAGAACTGATTTATTTTTTCTTGCCTCCTAGGAATTCCTAGTACTAGTGCAGAAGATGCTGCAGTAGCTAAGAATCTGGGCATTTCTTTCACTGAAGTCATTGAGACATTGCCAAATGGTTTGGAGAAAGTCATTAATTCTGCAGAGGTGGGTATACAAGTATGGAGTTCTTTCCAACTTACAATAACAATGCAAACTAAATAAGTTTTCTCAAGAGTGCCAAATACTTTGTATGATTGAAGGGATTTATTTTATTTTATTTTATTTCTTTTAAAGAATCAAGCCAGGCTTATGCTACCAAATTTCTAGGAATAATATAATGATGAAATGTGTTGGCTCTTCTGTAGCAATAAACTGAATTTTTTCCTTTTGTACATGAGAGGAAGGCACGGTATTGGTCTGAGTTTTATAATGGAAACTGAATAATTAAACCCATGTTAAAAGTTGATTCTTATTTCATCATCTCGATAGATTTTTAAGCTAAATATTAACATATTAGTCCTTTTTCCACGTGTTCACTGAAACGTGGTGTAAGCCTTTATGGTAACATATCTGCCTGAAGTGACATAGAAATGGTGTCTTTAAGATATAGATGGTCTTATAGTTCTCAAAAAAATGCATTTGGTAGCAGACACAAAGCTCATATTCTGTTACATTAAAGATAGAGTCTAAGTGGTTCAGATGTATGTGGAAGCAAGAATAGAAAAACCTAAAATGAGCACAGGAGAACGAAAGCTCTTTTACCATTTGCATTTCCTCAGTCTCTACCTTGTGTTGGTGATACTCTGGAAGTTTCAGTGTACAGCAGTTGATTAAAATACCAGCAGTAAATGCAAATATCTGCCAATAAAGGCTGAAGAGGTCTACAAGACTCTTTCTTAGCCTTGTTCTATTCAGACCATGAAGAACATTATCCCTTGAGCAAGAGGGGTTAAATGAGTAGCTGGTAAATGAATAGTCTCTTGGGTAGGAGGATGTTAAGCAGTGGGAAGGGGGAAATTAATATGAGGCTCAAACTTTGACTCTTAGAAATTGCATTTGTGACTTTTTTTGTCTGTTCTTGCATTTTCACTGACAGCAAGTATAAATTTTTCTTTCTTCTTCTGCTTCTCTTTATTTTTTAATCAGATCACAGGCATGACTCGGCAAGAGGCTTTAAAAGCTGTTACCCAGCAGGCCAAAAATAAAAGAATAGGTGGAGACCTAACGAGTGACAAATTAAGAGACTGGTTAATATCTCGACAGCGGTACTGGGGAACACCTATTCCTATCATTCACTGCCAGACATGCGGCACTGTCCCCGTGCCTTATGAAGACTTACCTGTGGTGTTGCCCGATGTAAGCACCTTCACAGGAAAGGGAGCCTCACCTTTAGAAACAGTTCCAGAATGGGTGAACTGTTTCTGTCCCAGGTAAGCCAATGCTGCATTTACTGCAGACTGGGAGAGATTGCTTTGTACCTGCCTGTTTCTTGTGCTCTTTCCGTAAGTGTTCAACTGACCACTCTGAGATAGGATACTACTCCAAAATGATGTTTGGTCTGACCCAGCGTAGGTTTTTTTTTTTTTCCTTACATACTCTGTAAAACTCCTTTTTTGCAACACAGACACCCACTGCTATTTCTTTATAAACAAGCTGAAGCAAAGCTCACTGTTCGTAAGTTGGAGGAAAGAAGAAAGGAAGACTAGAATGATTTTCTCCCTACCCCCCATTTCTTAACAGTATTTCTTACTTCATTTAGTACAATAATTTTCATTATCTTTCACCAGCAGAGTTCATATAAAGCTTATAATGATTATTGAATTATGTCCTTTTGTTAAGGAAGCTAACATTGCGTTCATTTGCTTAGTAATAGTCCAACAATAAAGTGTTTCCTCAGCTATGTAATTCTTTATCACGAAGAGTCATGCTCACTGTACATTACAGATGACAGCATGTAATTCAGATTGAAGGAGATAGGAAGTATATGCATCTTGTCAATGCTGTAATCTTTATTGTTTGTCGTCCAGCTGTTTAAGAAATAAGACAGCCTAAATTAAGTAGTGAGAGATATGTCATGAAAATCAGTTGTCTAATCTTGAGGGCTGCTTAGATACTCTGTACACTGCAGTTTGCATACAGATTCTGCAGAAGGAACTGGTAGAACGTGAGATGTCCCAGAGAAGTTTTTCATCAGTAGTACAATGCAACGCTGCTACTAACAGACTGACCAAACAGGAACATTATCAGGCTGCCAGGCAGGGGAATCAGACATATAAATATCATTAGGGGTCTCACTGATAACGCAGCAGTTTCATAACATCTAATGTTATTTCAACATTTGAAGGGTAGAATATCAGTGTGGTTTTCATTTCTAATTAGGTAGCTTACGCACAGCAGCTCTGTGGTTCTCTGGGAACATGTGTTTTGACCTTTGTTGATGACATGTATGTTATGTAAAACACACATTTACTTCCATGTTTCTGCATAGAAAATTTCTTCTCAGGTGTGCCTATTTAAATTACATACATAGTGTATTTTAAAGTGTGACTCTTGCAGGGAAGCCTTACTAAACAAGTAGTTTAGTTTTAGATTTTTTTAGTAAAATCTCTAGAAATGCCTTGGTCTACAATTCCTAATTTCAACTGAAAAATTTTCCTGATGTGACTGGAAGTCACTGTCTGCACTCTTGGCTTCCTCCAGACCTTAATTAAAAAATGATGATGTTGTCTACCAGGCAGCAATGTACTTCTGATGTATGGCAAATCCTTATGGTTTCTGGATAGTTACTGTGACTGCCCTACTTAGAGATTAATCAAGGGCATTTGTTTAGTTAGAAATAAAGGCATACAGGATTAGTTTCTTAGCCTAAAATGTGGTAATTTGCTGAAATTAACTTTTTTTAAAATTCTCACCTTTAGTTGGCTTCTTTATTCTCACCTATTTGACAGCTGTCTTCAGTATTGCTCACCCATATGTCTGCTACAGTTTCAAATCTGTTGAGCTATTACTTTTGTGTGTGCATGGTCTTCCTTGGTTTTCCTTGCTCTGAGAACAAAAACCAAGGAAGACTATGCACACACAAAAGTCATAGCCTTATGTCATCCCTTCCTTTAGGCCTTCTCTCCAGTAATAGTTTTTTTATTGGTTGCATTTAATACCTAGAATTAATAAGGAAAGCAAGATGGAAAGATACAAAAGTCTGAATATTTGAGTGACAATAGTTAGCGATCGTAAATGGGAGGAGATGCCCAAGTTATTCATTGTTATACAAGTCCAGGTAATTGGGTTAGTTGTCTGAAGATAGTCTAATGAGATTACAGTATTGTGCCTGTAATCACAATGTTGATGTAAATTGCATAAATTTTGAAAGATGCCCATGCTGTCTCTGTGTTAGTGAGCCATGTCCATTTAGAGTACAGGCAACATCAGGGGCATGAAGCAGATACAGTTATGGTTCAATGACTCTATTCTTGCTTTTGACTGAAAAGCCATTCTGTTTCAATGTAATACAGCATTATTTTACATTGGGCAAGTCTGATTATATGTACAGTTCAATTAAAATGCTTATTCTATATTAAAAAGCAGTTAGAAGTAAAATTTCTTTTACATTATTCCCATTGAAAGAAAAATTTGCTGGTAGAGAAGGACCTGGGGCAGAGACAGAGTGAAGGAAAAGGTTAAGTGGTGATACTCTTGTAAGCTTGCCTCGGCAAGCCAAGCTGAAGTATCAGGCAGACAGGCAGATACATGTTGCAGCTCAGTCATCAAGCCTGATCAGAGACTAAATATGCAGTTGGAAAATATTAAATAGTCAGTCCCCATTTATTATGTATATTTATTACACATATACATACATTTAAATTTACATACAGTTATAAATTGCATACATTTGTTACATATAGCCAGTGGTATTTATATAAAAGTATGTCACAGGTTGCAAAGTTTTGTTGAAATTAGAATAATGCCATTGTTCTAACAGTAAGAGTTTTAAAGAGGGATCATTTACCACAAGTGGAAGTTTATTAAATGTGATTATTGGCTCCTACAAACAATTTATATTCAGGCAGAAATTAGCAGAAAGTAACCTGAGCTTCTAAAATTTATTTTAAAATTGTTTCTCAGGGCTGCCAGTATAACTCCAAGCAAAAATTGATTTGCTGTAATCACAAATTAAAATTGTGCTACAAGGTCTGGAAGAGATTTGCTACATCTCAGTGAAAGCTGAAATTAAACTAAGTTCATTTTTTTTCTAGAGATGATAAATGGAATCTGCAAAGACCTTTTTGTACAGACAATCAGTGAGAGGCAACCACCTGCTCCTTCTGCTAAATATTTATAAAATGATTTGTCTGCTGGTACCCAACGAGTGTTATATATATTCAGTGCCCATTAACTTTATGGCAAAGTATGCTTGTCTCTGCTTTAAGACTTGCTTTGTTTCTTTTAAAATGGCAACTCTAAAAAATTCCTGGAACATACAATCAAGAAGGCTGTCCGGTGCAGTGCCATCTTCTGCTATTGCTGGATGCTATAGCTGTTCAGGCTTCTTTTTGGTTTGCATTTTGTTTGGTTTGGGAGGGAGAGGGAAGGAGAGTCAGCCCTGTTACTGGTGTTGGACTTTTTCTGAACATGTCACTACTCCGACTGTTCAGACCTGTTCGTTTTCAATCTGAATGTCTTTGTGGCCACTCTGTACACGGCTGTTTTTTCCAAGTTTGTCACTTAATCTGAAAAGAGCTTTTCTCCTTCTCTCTTGCTCAGGTGTAAGGCAGCAGCACGGCGAGAAGCCGATACCATGGACACATTTGTTGATTCCTCTTGGTACTACCTGAGGTACACGGACCCTCACAACAGGGACAGGTGAGGGCTGCAGGCACAGGGCTGTCATGGGGCAAGCCCGCTTCACAGAACAGAAGGGATGGAAGAGGCCAGACACTCCAGTGCTTCTAGCTTCTACCTGCCTTTGCAGAAGGTGGTGTAAACCCCTGTGCTGCCCTCTTTTTGTGCCTGCCCTCTGGCCTGAGTGCTGTGCAGGGTAGACCTGGAACTGCTCTAAAAATGTGGCATATGGTTGCTCCCATGGCAGGAGATCTACAAGAGCAGGATGTGTAGGCACAACCCTGTGAGCTACAGGGCAAGGGGCAGAAGTTTGCATGGAAGGGCATTATGGGGCAGGGCACAGAAGAAAAGTTCAGCTGAGGAACTAAAGATAGTCCTTAGTGGAGGGTGCCATCAAGAATGACAGCCAACCGTGACTCTCTCTGAGACTGTGGTAAGTTGCATGGAGTGTATACCCTCCCCTGCAGTACACTGAGTAGTTCACTGCGTGGACAGACAGTGCTTTTGCACCGGCAAGGAGAGGAACACTGGTGTGACATCCAGCTGCCGAGATTGGCACCTCCATTTCTCTCCTTTTGAATTCCAGTAACTCTGGTACTTCCTCAGGCGCAGACCTAACGTGAAGTAGCATCTCAGCAAGCTCCTGCTGTGTTGGCACTTCTACTACATGCATAATTAATGAAAGGAGATTTTTTCATGTGCTGTGTATTAGTGGCTGCAGTGTGGAGAGCGTGGGAAGACAGATGTATTTATTTAGCTGGTTTTCTGCTTTATAGTCTGCCTGTAGTAGCACTGCTGATAGCACTGATTTTTCCAAAGAGGAATTAGTGGAACAGCTCTACTACGTAGTCTGAGGAAGATAGAAAGAGTTGCATTTTTAAGATATTGATACCACATGTAGGGCTGTTTGGGGAATAACTTGTTTATTTATTGTCCAGAGCAGTGTCTGGGTACATACTACATACCAAGTGATTTAGTATAGCTAATTGAATAGCCAATGTATAGCAACTGAATGGGCCAATTAGTTTTTTTTATATTGGCAGCACTGGTTTAGTTAAACTAAAGAAAAATCTTCTGTGAACACTTTTATTTCATGTTAATTTTAATTATTTTCTAGTGATAGTGTGAATTTATTAATATTAAGTTAGGCAGATTGCTTCCTCTTTAGTGACAGTTTGAAATATTTTTTTGTGTGTGGACAAGAACGGCTTTTCCAGAAGTTGAAGTAGTAGTCAAATGTAACATCCAGCTGTTGAAGTAACAAAGTTTAGTGCAGCTAAATCTGTTTTATATTGAACATATATATGGACTTCTGCACTAGATCGCTGCCTCCATTTGATTTATTTATTTGGGTTTTTTAGCTAAGCTGCATATATGTAAACCCTTTCTTTCCATAAGCCATATTTCACAGGTCTAGAATTCAGGAGAATTACTCTGTTGATTTTGGAACACTATGAACAAGTTAGTTTTGACTTGTTCTAGTAAAGACATGAATCCCAGATCCACAATTTGCTTCTGGGTTCATCTGTGAGGAAAAAAGTGTTGCTATTACAAAAATTACAGATGGAATAATCAAACAGACTGACAAAACAAGAAAATTTGCTAGAACAGGGCCATAAAGCATACATTAAAGAAGAACATCTATACAAATGGTATTTTACAGGCAGGAGCCTGTTACAGGAGACATAACAATATCTAGTGAAGTAGTAAGCAATGCTAGGAAACCATGCAGGTGACCTCCAACGACCCAGTAAATATGCTGCAAATGACAAATTTACTGTAAATTCATCAAGCATCCTTCAGTTGGAGTGCGATGACCCGTCTGACTCTTCAGAATGTTTTGCAGCCTTAAACTGCTTCATTGCCCCCTAATGGCAACAGTGCAAACCTCCGATTAAAAAAAATGAACTGGTTTTGAGTGGGCATGTCTTTTGTCTTTCACTCTAATATATTTGTATGTAAAACTTGATAAATACTGAAAAATTTAAAGGCTAGCCACAGGGTATTCATTAAAAAAATTGTTTAAAGAGCAAGCAAATATTTTCATCACTTTCTCAGGCAATGTATGTGAAATCTTAGTTGCTTGCCTAAAATATAGGAAAATAATATTTTTGTAGATCTGCGTCTCAGTGGAAATTAAATTTTTGTCTGTAATAAGCATATCAATTCTTAAAAATTAAAAAGATCTGATAGCAAAATAAAAGTTTTATTACAATGTATTGCTGTCAGTAAACAGTGGCTGCTTTAGTAGAGCTAATCTTTCTTTTCCACGTTGTATTTTTTCTATAATTGTGTTTTTTCAGGCCCTTTCACAGTGATTTAGCAGACTACTGGATGCCTGTGGATTTGTACATCGGAGGAAAGGAGCATGCAGTTATGCACTTATTCTATGCAAGGTTTTTCAGCCATTTTTGCCATGATCTAAAGATGACAAAACACAAGTAAGCCTTATATATTTCTATAAAAATCTTTTCATATTTCATTTGACTAGCAAGAGTGTTAGGGGACATTGTTATGATGGTAGAACATTAGATTGAATAAGCCTGAATTTTCCTGCTCGTCAGTCTTGGCTAACTACTTGGTTTCTCACAGTCGCATTTTCTGTATGCATACATACATAGCATTTTTATTACATGAGTATTAACTAGCTGAGAGCAAGTGATAAAATACTGCTGTAGATTTTCAGCCTGCAAAAGCTTGTGTAAATGAGTAACTTCAGGCATTCTAAGCAGTGCTATTATTTCAAATTAGGTAACTTCCTGCAAGTAATACTATTAGTTTCAGTGGAACCATGCATATGTAGAAAAATAAGCACTCCTATAATTCACTGCAGTATTGGAGCTGAACAGTGCAAAACACTTCTTGGTAAGCAAAAGCAGTATATTTATCTGCTGTCAATTTATTTTTTTATTTAATGACTTTTATATAATTACTTTTAACTACTCTCATTGCTGATGCTGCTGTAGCCTACTTCATTATCCTCTGTTTTGGTAAGAGGTAAAGTTTGAGGCAGGAAGGTGATTCATATGATGTTCTATTCTTTGTCTTCTCAGTTAGGTTCCTAGCTTGACATCCCCATTTCTGCTGAAATTCTGCCCTTCTTGTACCCTAAAATGCCATCACAGGAATGCCTCAGCTGGGAGGATCCTAGTGTCAGAGCAGTGAAATACTGCCTGGTGATCTGTCCTGTTCTCCCATCAGCAGAGACATTTGAATAGATTGAGTCAAAATGAGAGATCCCATGAGAAGACCTGCTCAGTAATATCTCAGCTGGCAACTTGTATACATTCATTCTTTACTAGTATCCACTTTAAAAACTTGATGTTAAAGAGGAATCTATATATACATGGCACTTGGCTCTCTTAAATGCAGTAGTTTTGCTACAAAACTAGAACTTAAGTAGCTGTGTGCCAGAAAAAGATGGACTAGTTAGTGGAGCCAGCAGAATATTTCCCTAAGTTATTTCATAATCATTTGATGAAAAAAGGCAATGTGTTTTCATTGCTCATTCTTGACTGCAAAATAGTTTGCAGTGAAGGCTGTATTTGAAATTTTGGTTATGGGTCATTTGTATACCTGTGTCTCACTCTGTTGTCTCCAGTTTGCATAGCTGCAGCAGGAAGGCTGTTTCTTCTCTCAGGGAGTGGACCTCTTGAAGCAGACCCTTCCTCTCAGAGGCACTATTCCTTTAAGCAGATAATTTCAGAGCTTTCTCTTGCAAGCAATTTCAGGCTTATCAGTTCTACAAAAGACTTTACAATCCTAATCTATCAGCCATCTAGTGGAGCTGTAACACACAACAGCAAAATGTTCTTTTGCTAGTCAAATTCTTCCACCTCCCAAAACAACATTAACTACGGTGGCTTAAGTATTGTCACTGTAGAATGAGATCACAAGGAAGGGGAGGTTTGCTTGCAAAGTAAGTGGTCCACTCTGGTGTGCAAGAAAGCGAAGAGGCATGGAAAGAGGCCAGCTTGGCTGAGAAGGGACCTACTGAGTGACCTCAAGCACTAAAAGAAGTGCATGGAAAGTGGAAATGACGATGGGCTATCCCTGGAGGAATGTGGAAGCATCGACTGGGTAGGCAGGGTAGAATTAGGAAAGGCCATAGCTCATCTAGAATTGAAACTGGTGAAGTATCTGAAGGTAGTGAGAAGGACTTCTGCAGATACATTGAAAAGAGCGTCAAGGAAAATGTTGGCCTGATGCAAAATCAGACAAAGAGCCTAGTAGCAAAGGACAATCTTTACCTTGGCTTTTGCTGTCAAAGTCTGTGCTTAGTAGGAGACTTCGAAGGAGACAGGTACTACCCACTGTAGAGTAGGATTGAGCTAGTGATCACTTAAGTAAACCAGACACGTACAAGTTCCAGGCACATAAAAGAGTGTAGCCACCATGGATTTACCAAGAGGAAATTATGCCCAGCTTGATCTGCCTTCCTTCTATGGTGAGATGATTCCCTCTGTGGATGAGGAGAGAGCTGGGCATATCTTTTACCATGACTTTAGCAAGGCTCTGAACAAGTTCTCCCACGGCATCCTTGTAGTCTAACTGGGGAGATACAGGCTGAATGGGTGGACTGCAGCATTGATGGAAAAACTGTCTGGATCATCAGGCTCAGAGGGTCCATGTTCAAAGTCTGACTGGCAGCTGCTTGCAAGTGGTATTCCTCAGGACTCGCTGCTGAGACCAATTCTATTTAAAGTCTTCATCACCAACCTGGGCAGTGCAACAAAGTGCTCACCCTCAGCAAGTTCGTTGATCACTGGACACTGAGAGAAGCCATTGATACTCTGGATGGCAGGGCTGCTACGCAGAGGAGTTTGGTGAGTTGGAGAACCAAGTCTGAAGTGCTGACATCAATCTCACGTACATGGAGCAGATTACCCACAGAAACAGCTGGGGCTGTGCCGACTATGTGGGGAAGATTGACAGAGAAGGGCTTTAGAGAAGGGTGGTGAACACCAAGTTAGATGTGAGTCAGCAGTTGGCGTGAGGGTATACTGTGCTGCATTAGCAAAACCATGTCCAGCTTTGATTATCTCTGCTCATCACTTGGGAAGGCACATCTGGAATATTGTGTCCAGTTTTGAGCCCCCCCTAGTGTGAGGGACATTGTCAAACTGAAGAGGATCTAGTGGAGGAGCACTAAGATAGTCAGGGGCTGGAGCATATGGCATACAAGGAAAGGCTAAGGGAGTTGGCTGTGTTCACCATGGAGAAGAGAAGGCTAAGGAGGGAATGTAACTGCAGCCTACTGCTACCTAAAGGACGTTTATAGAGAATGCAGAACCAGACTCTTCTCAGAGATGTACAGAGAAAGGAAAGGACTAACAGTCACAGATTGCAGCAAGGTCCAGCTGGACAGAAGGAAAATAGTTTTGGCAGTGAAGGTGATCAGACTGGAACAGCTTGACCAGAGAGGTTGTGGGATCTCCATCACTGGGTATTTCCAGAACTCATCTGGACGGGGCCCTCAGCAACCTGAAGTTAGGTCTGCTGTGAGAAAGGAGTTGGACCAAATGACTTCCAAAGGTCCCTAACAACCTACATTATTTTAAGACTCTGTGATTCTGTAGCTGTATTAATTTGGAATGTGTTTTGTTCACACTGCGCTGTGACAGAGCAGTAGCACCAAAGCTGTGTAGTGTAGACTGGGCTAAATATGGTAAATTGAAGAAGAAAACTCTAACTTCAATCAAAAAAAAATGCTTAAGAAGCACTATGTCTAGTGCCAATAGCAGAGATCAAAATTGCTTTCTGTAGAAGTAGTTTGCAAGACTGTGGAGAATTCCTTTGACGCCATACACAATGTCAAGAACATTGCACATGTGGAGAAACGTTACAGCATTGCCCCTAGGATCTGTGGTTTGTACTGCTTATACATGTGCTCAGACTGCAAGATGACTGTAACAAATTCATCATCATGCACAAAATTGCTTGCTTTAGCTCTACACAAGTTAAAGCATTAGGTGCTTTTAAGCCATGAAGTCAAATTAGGATTTTGTTTGATATAGAAATCGCAACTCCTTTATAAATATTACCACGTTTTAAATGTTTTAGCATTGGTCAGAAGCCACTTTTGCTCAGTCTTCTGTTAGGACGGCTCAAGGGCTGGTCTGACAGATGTGAAAAGGGTGATTAGAAACAACAAGCTTATTGTTAGGAAGCTTAAAGTCATGGTGTCAAAGACCACAGCTCTGAGAGAGAACATAAAAATGTTAAAAAACACTGCCCTCTTGTGCATTTTCAGTCTTTCTCTAGTAGCTCAGGTTTTGTTCACTGATTGAATTAGTAAAATTCTGCTATATCTCACTTAATGAGAACTGCCACCATTTAAAGTGTTATCTAGTATCCTGACATATTTTTATGATTCCCCTATTAATCTGTATTAATTTTTCATTTTGATAGGTTTTCTTCATGGAAATTTTCATTGTTTGGCATCTGTCCTCTGACTTTCAAATCCATTGAAATATTTCCTGATAGACTTTAATTCTGTACTAATGGCTATTAATATAATAATGAGGCTGAAAACAAAAGTTAAAAATTCCATAGTTTAGATTTGCAAAGCAATCTCTTCAAATATGATGTACTTCATTATTATAGAAATATTATAGGCATCATACATAAAATAGGCATATACAGACATCACACATGCTTTCATAGAAAATGCAGTGCTTGCAGACATCTAAAATTGTAAAGGTGTCAATGCAGTTTAAATATCCCCTGAAGATGGGGCATGATCTTTTACTTTTTCTTTTTTTTTTTTTTTTAATTAATGCATTGAACTGGAGATGGTGCGAAATGTCACTCATTTCCTCAGTAATGCCAAGGCAGAATAAATGGCACCCTCTGGGTATTGATACATGTGAGAACAGATTAAGCCCAAATTGATGTCATTTTTTTTTTTTTTTAGCAATCTGGTCTGTACAGTGCATTGGTTCTAGAATTAATTCACAAGCCCGTCAGCCCTCCCAGCTGTGACCACTGCTGGGAGAGGGGCCAGGTAGGCAGCTGGGACCAGCAACCTCCTCATCTGTTCCAGCTTAATCCACCATGGCAAGTGTGTGCTGACACACTAGGTTACATCTGCTCAACTGTGTTACTGCAAGTACAAGTTACACAGAATTTGGCTCTTCCCTAGACTTTAGTAATCTGTTCTGTCTGATGAATAACTGGAAATGGGATCTAGCACATTCTCCCTGAAGGACTGTAAAGCAATAAAAAAGTTTGTTGTTGCCATTAAGTCAGCAGATCTAACTGATAGCAAATCTGTGAAGTAAGGAGGCACTATTTTCACATAGCTGTATTACAGAATAAAAGAAGATAGTGTGTGAGAGAAATGGCTTATTCTGTGAAGGAAGGATGTTAGAGCTTCTCTATGTTCATTGGGGACTTTATCATGAGTGTTGATTTTAAGTAAAAGCACTCAGCTATTGACTGTGTAGAATCTTAAAACATTCAATACCGTTTGATCTTTTTTCTGCCTAAAATTATCAGCTTCCACATCCTTCAATTGCTTCTGTTCTGGCCTTCCACAGGGTTGCCAGGTTGTTACAGCTAGACCTAACAGCAGGTTTCACAGGAACCTGAACTCATCAGACAGTGACTGACCAAGATCTTGTCTTCACTCCAGGGCACAGCATCGGGCTCTCTTGGCCTTTCTGAAGGTGCAGGATGCAAATGCACGCAGTCAGCTTCCTTGCTAGGGCTATCCCTTCTTCCAAGTCTGCTGTTGATCACTGTTGCAGGCTTCACAGAGTCCTTCCAGCCAGGTCATTTGTAATTGGATTGAAAGTCCCACAACTCACCTTGCACGGAGCAGGGCAAGGAGCGTGAGGATGTGGCACTGAGCAGGAGATCCTGATCTGCCAGTCATGCTTGTTCATCCATCCATTGCGTGCTCCTGAATAGAGAAATTGGTCTGTCATAGAGATGAACTTGTCTATGAACATTACTGAAAGGAAAAAGATGGATTACAAACTTTGTGGCTAGCACAGCTGATCCTTCCCAGAGGTGTCAGGCAGACTTCACAGGTGGGGCCCCATCTGACGTACAACATGATCAAAAGCTGCACACAACTAAGGCCACAGTGCCCATACTCCAGCATGGGCACAAACAGACTTCACAGGCAGGTGAAGGCATATCCTGTTCCAGCATCCTTACAATCTGAAATGTGATCAAGCACTCAAAGAAACTCAAGCTGCCTCTTTGTTTACTGTGCTGGAAATGTCTGTCTGTCTGAACATAGCTTAATTTCCATTGTTTGCAGTGCTATGGCTCAGGAGGTATTTATGACACCACGCCACGACTGGGTGCTGCAGTATTTTGATCAGAATTGTATCACACCTGATGTGCTGTGGTGTCTTGGCAGTTCCCTTCCGCAGCCAAGAAATGCATCACTTTCTTCGAAGGGGAGGAGTTTAGGTGTGCAGTTTTATTAATGTAAATTAAAGTGTAACTCTGCCTGTGAGCATAAGATGGAGCCACAGCACTGGCAAAATCACTGCGCTTCAGGAGAAATTCAGTACAGGGCTCAGTTTGTTTCCCAGCCCTGTGTTTATTAGATGGGCTCTGGCTTTCTCATTTTGGGCATGTCTCCATTCTCCTGTGGTCTCCCACTAGGAACATGTGGGGGAGGGGGGTTCCCCATACTTGGTAATGTATTTTGTATTGCATTTTTGTAGCCTCTGTCAGCATAAACAAAAATAGGAAATGCTCATTCCTGCATTCAGCTTTTAATAACTTGACGTGTGATCTGAACTAACTCTTTGTCATTAAAAATAAGTGTTCCTTGAAAAATCACTTCCACTGGAGAGCCCTATCTGATCTGGATGTTCTGGCTACCTCATTAGCTTTATTTTAGATAGTGTAGCTATTTTAATAACTGTTTGAGATCTTAAACTGAAGTACTGAATGATGGGGGGAAAAATTCTTTTTATTCTTCCTTGGTGTAAGGTCTTTAGTTTGCAGAAGAAACTTATCCTGAACAGTTATGTCCTGAAGCATTTTTCCACCATTTGTTGACAATAGGATTACAAGATTTTTTTTTTCCTGATTTTCATCTTCTAGTTCACATGGAAAATTTGAGATAGTAATTTGAGATTTTAGACAATTATTGCCTCCTATTTTTTAAATACTTTTTCTTGTATGTACTGTCTAAATTTGACTTCAGTTCTCACTCTTTAAGTTCCTTTAATTTATTTCAAAACAACAGTGTTTTTCAGGCAGCCTGTGAAATATTGTCTGGAAAATATTTAGGGAGATGCTTGAATTGCAAGTCTTACTTAACATTGTTGATAAAACCAGGTGGCATGGCAGAAACGTATACTGCTTGATGACTGAATGGTATGCCACTATGTGCCAGTACTTGCACAATATTTAGAAGTGTACAAAATATGCAAGGAAGGAAACTCATGTTCAAACATGAATATGTTAAAGTATGAAGCCTGTCACTTTCTCTCTTCCAGTTTAAGGCTTTTCTTTCAAATATCTCCTTAATTCAGAGTCTTCAAAGGATTTAAAGACTAGTACTTGGAAGATATCTGCTTTAATACAGTTAAAACATGCATAATTGTTATATAATTTAATAATATTTTAACTATATTATTAAATAAATTACTGTGTTTTAAATCATGAGATGTCATATAATTTATATTTCCTAATAATGTAAAATAATAAATTAACTCCTTAAAAGTGAGTGGTGTTTTGGATTATGACTTTTTTGTACATGTGAAGTAAAATGTGGAAGTCTGGTTTTACCATTTCTTCTTTAGATGGATTTATTCTTGCTTTTTAAAAAATATGTAAATAGGAGTAATGCATTCTTTTTACATAAGTTGTTTTGGTAGATATGTGGGGTGTCGTTAGGTGGAAGTGTGGAGGATTCAGATTGCTTAATATTGAGCACACGTGAGCAGTAGGAGGTGCAAGTCAGTAGTAACCAGCGCTGATTAGCACGTCCTCCAAAATGATGGTCACCAATGTCTTTGTGTTGGGGGTCCCATGAAGAGGCTCCTCAGACTGTGTATGCCTTCTGCATCTGGCTCCATACCTCCTCCCTGGCCCCTGCTCTTCTTGGGGTTGCTGTTAGAACTGCCTTACTTTCCTGGCCTATTGAGTGGCAACCAAAATTCTAGAGATTAATTTTGTTGTCTTTTTTTTAGTGGAAACAGTGACAGACATCTGACTTGAATTAGAAATGCAAGATCATTAAAGGAGGTGGCCGCAATAATGTATTTGCCAACTAGAGCAGTGCTTACTTAGAGTTTATGTGTGTGCGCACTACTGCCCTTAGCTTTGGTGCTTTTAAGGTTCTTTTTAGCTCTATCATACACACATTTGATGACAGTTTACTCTTCCTGATGTAAATTTTGTTAGAAAAGTAAAGTTTTAATGTTCAAGATGCTAAAAAAATGATCCGCTAACATAATAACTTTCCAGCATTGCTGTTTTTCTAGTGTACTTGTTTCCTTACAGCTAGGTTTCATGGCTAGTTCTGCAAAGGGACAAGGCATGCAAGTGCTAATGTTAGAGAAACTATCTTCTCCGTTTATAGAAAGAAATGTGCAGCGAGATTTTGATTTGTTCAGCGCTAGAACTAAATATTTGTAAGGCAGTGAGGTCAGGTACTTGAATGTTTTTACACATGGGGATTTAGCTTGAAGTTAGTGAAATTGCATTGTTGGCCAAGAAACTTTTTTGTATTATCCATGTGCTAATTTGAAAAGTGACGTTAGAATAACTCAGTACTAAGTCAGGATGCAAGAATGTGTGCAGAATACAAATAAATACTTATACTTGCCAGCCAGGCGCCATGAATAAATGCACAAAGTACTTTTTCTAAGGTGACAACCATTTATGTATAGTGAGCTTGACATTCTTGTTGCATTAAATAATTGTGCCTGATTGGCTCAACACCTGAGGCTTATCATAAAGTATGCTTTTGACAGCTCTTTTCAACAGACAAGTTTCTTTTTCCTTCCATCCTTAGGGAGCCTTTCTGTAAACTCTTGGTTCAAGGTCTTATCAAGAATCAGACATTCAGGCTAACAACAACAGGCCAGTGTTTGAAGAGAGAAGAGGTTGATCTCACTGGTAAGAGAGACTGCATGGGAAAATTGGCATAGGTGTATCGAGAAAGTCAGGGACTGCTTCAGTGTACAAGTCTCAGTGCTGGGAAAATTTAGAAGAGAAAATTAATCCTTGTAATATTTAAACTGGAAAGCGACTTCTGTGAGTTTTGGATTCATATGCACTGCTGAGACGCTACTAACCCAGCAGCTTTTTAATTGCATCCAAACACAGCAACAGTGCTCTGGTATTATTTTAGCTCCAGTATAGTCCAAAAGATCAGAAGTCAGTTTTGTTAAGACAGTGCTCAGCAGCTTGCTGAGTGGAGCTAGTAGTCCCAGCAAACAGATGACCTACAAAAACATTGTGGCAAAGCTAACGCAGATGTTGGTATATTCAGTAGATATTGGGAATGTAAAACGTGTATAGGAAAAAGTGCTGTTTCTCAGATTCTTAACAGTGGCTTCACTGCATAAGCTGGAGCGGCAAGTCCTGGCTTGGGGACCCGTAGCAACAAGAGTGCTTTGGTCATATTTGCCTCCCTTAAACACTCCCCTCTCATGGAACCTTGTTTTCACTGTTGTTCTGCTATATACAAAGCCATAAGTCAGTTAAACAAACAAACAAAACAAACCCCTTATGGTTACCACTGTCTACTATCCTATTTTCTTCCAGAAAAGCTAGGGCTTTTTTGTAGCAGGTGATTTTGCTGGGTTGCACCTTTATCAGTGTAAATGCCCCTCTCCATCTCTAAATCCATGCAACAGAAGGCACGTTGTCAGGATAACTTACTGCAATTGAAACATAAAATCTTGTGTTTGTAAAAGCTAAGTGCAGGTCAGAATTGTACCAAATTAGTACACCCATCTAGGAGGTTTTAAATGTCAGGTTATAACAATGCTTAAATCTCAGGGGCTGTCAAGGTAGTGCATAGGATGAGTGCCAGATACAGCTTCCACATGGTAGAAGGAGACTTTCTGTCATGATGCAATGGAAGCACTGGAATATTACTTGTGTTAAAACATTAAAATAGGAAAAACCTGGGAGGGAAGAGGGTGTTTACAATGGTTGTTCTTCCTCTTTAAGCTGTTTGGAAACCAAAAAACCCCACTAGAAATAGTTGTTTCTTCTTATGCTTAGAGAACAAAATTAATTGCTGTTACAAATGAGCAAAATTTGGTTTAATATTTTGCGTCTGTCTTAATATTTAGGAACTGAACCAGTTCACCTAAAAACTGGTGAGAAGCTCCAAGTTGCTTGGGAAAAAATGAGCAAATCTAAGCACAATGGAATAGACCCTGAAGAATTAGTCAAAGAGTATGGCATTGACACCCTACGTCTTTACATTCTGTTTGCTGCTCCTCCAGAACAAGATATTTTGTGGGATGCTAAAAGTAAGTCGGATTGTTTCTGTTGTTTGTGTTTGGTTTGGTTTTTTCTAGTGTGTAAAATTTTAAACACAAAATTAATACAGATCTTGATGCCCAAGTTTTGGAACAATTGAATCAAAAAAGTATAATGAGCAGGTTTTATTGTTTGTTTCTTTTAAAAGAGAGCGGGTCACAAAGCTGTCACTGAGAGGCAGGCTTGCAAGATTATTGCAAGCAGCTTACCTCTTAGGAGCTAAAAGCGTGTATGGAAAGTACTCTTAAGTGATATTTTCTTCTGCAAACTTGGACCTCATTCTCTTATTTTTTTATTAGTGACAATTGATTGAAAATGATTGTTTCAAGATTATTTTCTTCATTATAAGCTGCTGCTTAAATCATACCAGTTTACAGATAAAACTTTGCAATATTTTATTATTTCCATTATTTACACATGTATGCAATAGCTTTTGTAAGCTGGACTATGAAATACTTCTCAGAATAATCTCATTAGAAGATAATCAGAGTTCCTAGTAACTAATATTTGTACGTACATGACATTTTTATGAGCTTATTTCTTGAATAAGATTTACCCTCCTACGCACTTATTTACTGCCATCATGCAATTTGTCACACTGACAGATTTTAATTTCTTTTATCTACTGTGGTTCATACTTTTTAATGTCTTATGCATACATTTAAATCTAGCCCTCTTGTTGCATAAGGCTTTAATAAAACACTCCATGCCTGGTACTTCTTCATTCTTTCTGGTGTTAGCTTCTTGCTACCTAGTTCAGCCTGCACTAAGCATTATTTCAATTGGTATCTCTAAGTTGGTGTCTGTCACCCTTTACATTCATATATGTTCATTTATCTATTATTGCATTATGGAATGTACTGGAGGAGTGGGCTTTATGACTTTTCTCAGTTTACTTTCTGTCACCATGTATTCACAACCATACAGAGCTAGGCAGATGAAAGGGTCTCGTAAAAAAACCTGATGATTTGGAATCAAGCTTTAACTCCTGCATCCCTAACAGTACACAGGTACATAATTCCCTCTGAAGCAGCTAATTCAGTGATGCACAATCTTTTTGCTGTACTTTTCCATCTTGAAAATGGGATAATTAAATTAGTGTGAGAATCGTGAGTACGGAATCTTAGTTGCAAAGTATACTAGAGCTTGGTTAAACATTTTTTAAGAAAGCTAAGCACATGCAGGTATAATGCTAGCAAAAATGCATTTAGTCATTCAAACCAACCTGTTTACCACTTGAGAAATACAAAGAAGGATTTCGGAGTCGTGTCATGTTGGAAGAGTATTGGAAGACGTGAACAGAAGGAGATGTCAGCAGCCTAAAGATACTTCCAGGGGAAAAAAAATGGGAAGTAGGTGAACAGCATCTCTTAAATCTTTAAGCTTTGGTCTAAATTTCTTAATGATAACAAACTAGTGAATGTTTAAATTGAAGAAATCAGGCAAGTTGTGGTGGGTTAACCTTGGCTGGAGGCCAGGTGCCCACCAAAACCGCTCTATCACTTCCCTCCTCAGCTGAACAGCGGAGGGAAAATACAATGAAAGGCTTGTGGATCGAGATAAGGACAGAAAGAGATCACTCACCAATTACCATTACGGGCAAAACAGACTCGAATTGGGGGAAATTAATTTAATTTATTACCAATCAGTTAACAGGGTGAACAGCTTTATAATCTCCCCATCACAAATGAAGTTGTGTCAAAAGGTGGTACCAAGGATAACAGCCTATACTCATTAGTGCAGTAGCATCTCGTAGCAACAAAAGTATATGTGATTTCTAAAATCAAATTTTAGAAGAAACATCTCAATTTAATAAATGTGTGCATGCATGTATGTATATATGTATGTTTGTATTCTTCCACGAGTTTGAAGAATGAGAGCATGTAGAACTGTTTTGTTGAGTCATTAAAACACGAGGTGAGCATTCTAACATTGACATAACATAGGGTTATTTTACAGATATAGCAAATATTATTGGTTTATACATTTATATATTTAAACCAGCAAATATATGTTTTAAAGTCATTGCAGAAAAATACTTTTGTTTTATCTTATTGATTTCTTTTCATTAAGGCAACCCAGCATTATTTGTAAAGGCATTTGCATTGACATTTTTCATTTAAAATACAGTTTTCTTTTTAAAAAATGTTTAATTCTAGCATTCAGTTTCCTTTCTGCTTTTCTTTAAAGTTTTGGATTCATTCATTGTAACTGAAATTTGTTTCTGCAATCTTTCATTAATCTCAGCTGATGCTATGCCAGGTGTTCAGAGATGGCAGACGCGCCTCTGGGCGCTTGTAACCAAACTTATTGAAGCAAGGACTTCAGGAACCATGCCCAATCCTGAGCTTCTGAATAAGAAAGAGAAGGCTGAAGCCAGAAAGATCTGGGAGCAGAAGAATCTGGTGATTTCTGAGGTTAAAAGAAACACTTACATAGTTTGTAAATGACTAAATAAGTTGCTGCTTATGCTAAAACTGTGTGCTTGACTTAGAGCCAAAAGCTTTTTCCCCAGATGGGTAGCTCATAATTTTTAAGTGAATTACTCTGTACAAGTAATTTTATTTACCAACAAATTCTATGGGACAGAACTTTTTTGCAAAGTAGTAAGATTTGGATTGGCAAAATTTCTCTGCTTTGTGCCTCACTTAAAGGATGAAATGTTATGGCATTGAAATGTTATCAAACTGGGTTTCAAGTAACTCCACTTCCAGTAGCAAAGCTGTAGGTGAGTTATGCAGGTTATCCCTAACAAAAGCTTTTGATCTGTTTGTTTCACACCTCATTATGATGCCTGCTGTCTCATATAGAATGAAAAAAGTTGTTGGTGAAAATATATTAGCATATCCTAAAAAAAAAAAATACTGAAATGATTGTTCATCTCTTCTTATGTATTGTTTCATGCTGTGATTAGTGTCAATTCAGTTATCCAAGACTCAGAAGTTCTGAGACATAAATACCTGCAAAATTAACTTAAAATATTTTTCTACGGATAAAAACTTCTCCTGATTTAAACCCTGTGGTGAGGGACCTTATAGGTCTTTTAATAGACTTTAGAATTATAATCTTGCAATCTGTGGACAGGCTTTCACCAGCATAATTGGATTTACAAATATGAAGGCCTCTTGTAGGGGCAAATGGAAGATACTTTATTAAAGGAAATAGAGGGTGATTACTAATACACACTTCTCATTGGCATTGATTGAAGCTTTTAAAATCCTGAAACAGAGGGAAAGCTAATCAACTGAATTTTTAGGATTTTTTTTTTCCCATACACATGTGATTGCATATATGATGTGTTTGCATGCCAAAGTGATTTTCATGAAAGAGATAAGATGGGTGTGTTCCACAAATGGAAATCAACTATCAATAATTCTTTTTCATTTAAAAACCCAATATTCCATGTTTGAGAATTTTAAGTAATTAGTGACAGACCTTTTCTTCTAATACAAGGTAACAGAGTACTTCACAAAGGATCATTTGTTCAATGCAGCTATCTCCCGATTGATGAGCCTCACTAATATACTCCATGTAAGTACACGATATTAATGAAGGTATTTTTCTCTCAGACCCTGTTCCTGTAAGTCTTTATACAAGGAGGAGCTGCCTGAACTATAGGTCCAGCTTTCCATAAGTCATTTACTGTCATAAACATTGCTACTAAGTCAAGAGCTTTGTTGAATTATTCACTTCAAAAGCAGCATGTTCTAGTATCAGTGTGACCCTGAAACTCACGGTTTTGCAGGAAGACCTTGATGGTATTAGAGCCACTAGGTTCTGGTGTTTACATCTGCATCCTGTAATTTCACAAGGATACATTTTGTTTAGCGTTGTTCTTTGTTCTCTTTTGTTTTTAAACAAGTTGCATAGGTAGCTAGGTATAGCAGTACATTATAGAATTACCAAACATTCTCACTAAAAGAAAAGGGCTATTGCAAGGAAAATCACACATAATCTTACATTCCTCAGAGACAGCTTTCACCACTGAACTGTCTGCTAGTAATAGAGTTTGCAAATTCCCCTTTTTAAAACAAATGTAACAATAACTTAAGTCTTTAGCATTTTTTATTTAGATTATCTTGTTTATCAGCCAGTGGCAATAGAGCAAATACAATAAGCTATTATTGTTATTTTTGCTACTACTCTTAGATCTGATTGAGCAATCCTTCAGGCATACAATGGTAACCTGATCTAGATGAGAAGTCATAAATCTGGATTTTTCAACTTCTCTATTGAAATAGCATTTTATACCTTATGGATTGCAAGGAGATTATTGGCAAAGTAAAGGAACTTAAAAGAAAGTTAAGTAGGGTGTGCGTAAGTGCTGTATTGAGGTAACTTAAGTCTGGGGTACTGTGTGTTGTTGGGAAGGTGACACATGGTTCTTTATCTCCAACTCAGTGATTCATATGCATTTTGGGCTGGTGGATGGTGATGAGTGAATGTTAAAAAAAAATAAATAAATAAGAATCAGTATCCTACAGAGAACCAGATGTTTAAACACTGGCATATTTCTTGACCAGTGAAGTCAGTGCAGTATCTTTCAAGAACAAGTTTCCATATAGCATGCTGACACTTCCTCTTTTGCTCCCCTTTGAAAGGAGGAAGTGGGGAGGTGGGTGAAGATTAAATACAGAAAGCAGAGAGTAGTTACTAAAACTTACTCAAACCAAGTTTGCACTGAGCTCATTAGTATCAGTGATAAGAAGATGTCGTCTGTCAACATTTGTGGTCTATGTCAAACAAATCACTGGTTTTGGACAATTTTCTAGTAGACAGGAACGGGTGTTCACCATACTCACCAAATAATTCTCATAAGCTAACATGTATTGACATTTTTCTGTGCTGATTCATTAGAGGAGCAAATTACAAAATAAACGCAGAATCTGAATTTACCATGGGATGTAATCTCTCAAACAGGCAAAGAAGGAAAAAGTTAATCCAGCTACTTTTAGTGCTGTATCTTTTCTATTAAGATAAAATAAATAGAGAAATGAAGGTTCAAATTTTGTCAGTCTAGCACCTTCTGCAAGAAATTGAAAATTTTCTGAACTAGAGAAGCTGACCACTTTACTAAAGCAATCTGGACATCAAACTGTAAAAGGCTGTGCTGCACTGTTCATTCCCAAAGCTTCCTTCAGCTTTAAAACCTCACTTTGTCATTAAATTAAGCTTTACTTAAGCCACTATAGGATCCTGTACAACTGAACCTCATCCCAACAAAACCCATGCTGCATTCAGCACAGTTTGACTCTCTTATACAAGTACTTCACCTCTCCTCAGATAGCTCTGGTTTTATCTAAGATTGCACTTCTAGAAGAGGCGACACTCAAAATGTTTTTGACGGCCACTGTTGGCCACGTGGCTCTGTGCTCAGCTCCTGTATTAGAGCAGATCCCCAAGGGTCTGCATCAGCCTCTTCAGGATCAGCTTCCAAGTGTTAGAGGGCAGCACTCTGTGACCAAGAGTTGCGATTTTAATTCTCCAGAACTTACCATAAGTTTCCAATTTATTGTGAAATTATGCTGTCCTAAGCATAGACATTGGTTTTGGATTTTATTACTGCATTTTTTTCTTAAACTACTTTCTCCCCACCTCAGAATATTAACAATTTATTTTCTTTTCCTTCTGTCTTTTCACTTAGCAAGCTTCTCGGCCTCTTATTCTCCACAGCACAGAATTTGAAGATGCTTTGGCTTCACTCTGCATTATGGTTGCACCTATGGCTCCACACATTTCATCAGAGATGTGGAAAGGTATTTATAGAAATAAACTTTTTATTGATGTTCCAGGAAAAAAGGTAAAAAGGTTGCAAAAGTGCCTTCAGCGTAGTACCTGTGTCACTTAACCCTGAATTCTGCATTTGTCTTGTCCCTTTCTGTCATAATTCCTAAACAAACTTGAAGATTGTGGTGTTCCCAGATCTCTCTTTCTGCTTTAGTTTCTTTCCCCTTGCATAGAAAGGTGGATTTCTTGAGACTAGGCAGAGAAAGGGAGAAGGAAGGAAAAAAGTCAAGACAGGACTTGCATGAGGAATTCACATGTCAGCTGCTAGCTGCTCCGCCATCTGGATGGCAGTATTAAGAGCTGAATGTAAGGACAGAAACAGCCCTTTTTCAAACAACTGTTTCAGAGTCTTTGGACTGCAAATATTTTCTTTCAGGAATTCAGCCACAGCGAGCCATGTCAGAGGGCTGTATACTAAAAAGACTAAAGGAGTATTCAATAAAAACCCTACTCTTGTAGAATTCTCTAGAGACTGAGGGACGTTATGCTGCAAATTAACCTCTCGTGGAAAGTGGGAATGGTAGACAGGAAATCTTTTTTAAGATCTGTCACGCTTGTAAACCTTGAGTTCTGAATCCCAGGTGGGCTAAGTTGCGTGGTGCTGCTACAGTTAAAGCCTGTGAAATAAGAGACCTGCATGCCAGAGTTCAGCCATTGCTTTTAAGGTTTACTGGGAGAAGTCCCAAGACGTATGTGGGAAGATAGGAATATATTCTGCATTAAGACTGGCCACAAATTGCTATGTGGTTTTGGACCTAACATTAGCTTTTGGATGCTGTTTTAACAGTTTTATTTTCAACAGTTGTCCTAAAACTTTGTGCATTCAAGTGTTTACAGAGCAGAGCTACTAAATTGCTTGTATTTCAGAGTTGTGCATGGCCCTGTAGTAAAGTTACCTGCCAAGGAAAGGCTGCTCACGTTCAAAGCAGTAACATAGGGACAGACTCAGCATACAGCAAGATATATTAGGGAGAGCGGGTTTTTTTCTGTTTTCATTTCCAGTGTTTTTAAGATGTCATAATACAACCTTAATTGTTCAGAATAAAGAGTGGCATCAGACATCTGGAGAAAACTACTGGTCAATAGTATCTTACAATATGAAGTACCGTCTAATTAAAATTATACTTAAATGGAAGTAATTGCCATGACTTTGTTTTCTGCATTGGTTGAGATGGAGGCAGAAGAGGTCCGGGCTCATTACTTAAACAGACAGTGCCTTGTGAACTTGAAATTCAAATACATGTTAGGGAATACAGAATTATCAAATATGTTTGATAAAATGACGTCACTAGGATGTCTCAACTAATAACTTGTCAAAGGTAAAGCTTAATGCTGTAATGTTTTGAATGTTAGAGAAGGAAGTCTTTTCTTACTACTAAAATCACTGGAGAATGAGAATGATAAAACATTTGCTGGATCTCTTTCTGATGTAAGAATGAAAAGGTAGTGTATAAAAATTGGGAGTGTGTTGTCCTCACCTTCTGCCTGCATTTAAAGATAAAATTTTGCTTGTGTGGCTCAAAGACTGTGCATTGTAGTTCAGTGTGGTGATTATTACCTGAAGATTGTTATGACTAAACATGAAAATCCCAGTCTCTTTTAGCATGATCTTCATTACATTACATCAAACTTATTAAACTATTTTATCAGGAGAACGTATGTACATTTAACTACCGCATTGTGGTAAGAAGTCTGTATTATTTTGAAATAGCCAACATCTAGTAATTCTGTCCTGGGATTGGGATTTCTGGTGAAAAATGTCCAACTGTCGTGTAGAGAAAGATTCCCCAAGTTCATTCTCTGAATTGGAATCTGGTTCCACCAACTCTTGTTGCTCTTCTGATGTAACCAATTTCTTAAACTTTATTATGTATAGGTGATGATGCTTTCTTATTTTAAATAATTTTGATTTAAAAAAATCAACCTTTCTAAATACTCTATTTAGTTTTCTTTGTGCTTTAGTTCTCCATATCCACACTTACAGTAAGTCTCTCTTTTTGTACCTTGGCTTTGCATCTAAATGTAGGGATAGTGCTGCTTCCTCTCTCGTAAACTAGTCAGGAAAAGGATTTTGTATATTATTAGCTCTATAAATAGCAACTATAGCAGTGGACCCCCACACTCTGATGGAGGCCTCTGTCTGCTGCCAATAATAAACAACACATAAGCAACGTATTTATAATTAAATACTGACATTTCATTCTAAAATAACTTGTACGCAGCCTTTACTTTTTGTTTGATTTAGTGATTAAAAGGAGGAGCATTTTTCTTTCTAAAGGGGAAAATGAAACTGGGAAACTTGGAAGCTATGTAGTTATTATCAAACAGATAATTTTGCAGTTGAGTAGGAAGGCTGGTAGGAACAGTGACTTAGGTTAACTCTGAACCACATTATGCTTCCTTGTGTATTTAAGCTTTTTTTGAAGAAAAAGGATTTTGCTTTCTTTTTTGTGTTTCTCATTAGAAAGTGTTTACTACATAATGACATATGCTTAATATTAATTTTACTACAGCCTTAAAAGAGAGAGAAGAAAAGAGCATTCTCATTAATTCCAACTGTTTGCATTGTGCTTCACAGCATGAATAATACTTTTAATGCTGCATTGTAATCTCTCCTTTTATGCTTTTCTGATCACTGATTATTGTCAAGAAACATTTAAGAAGAAATTATGATAGAATTTAAAACTAAATGTGAAATAATGACAACCTATAATAAGACCCTGACTTAAGGTATTGTATTAAGTTAATTCTGCCAAAGATTTGAAGGCAGTTAAACCACAGAACTATAGAACTTTCTGGCTAAGATGAGGCTTTGTGGAGGTAATAAAATAACTTTTGACAACTGGAAGCTCTTCTGCAGGTGCAAATAGTATTTTTTTCAGTTGAAATGACAGGTGTTCTGGAAATCGAAAGAAATCAGCCAATCTTTCTTCCTTTTCTAGTTTTGGAATAAAAAGCTAGGCAAAAGAGGCTAGTATCTATAAATATTAAACTCTTGAAGGCTCTGATTACCAAAAATATCTAACACTGTTAGTTTTATTCAGTAATTACATTAATATTCTCCTTTGCTCAAAAAAACAATGTTTAACTGCAAAACATGGTATGATAAATTTTAAGTATCTAACAGATTTTCTTAAATAATTCCATTCTGAATGCATTTATATTTAAATAGCAAAAAATTCTTTTTTGCATCTTGATTTCCATTTCAATCTAAAACCTATTTGACATGGATGACAATGAAATGTAAAAAAAAAATTGTGAAACAGTGTTTTCTAATACAATAGCTTGTAAAAATTAAAACTAAGTGTATAAATGTGTATATAGGTATCCTCTTGGTTAGCAAAGAAGTTCTTTACAGCTGGATTTAACTGCAAACCAGTCCATCTTAATGATTACCAACTAATGAAAAGACTAGGAAAACTACAAGGACTATTTTAGAGTGTTAATTAAAGATGCTTTTTTGACATTTTAAGTAAGGACTAGCATCAGTGACATAAGTAATTTTGATTGTAGTAATGCTATCCTGCTTTGCAAGAGTTGCATCAGAGTTCATTTGAAATTTTAGCTTTTTAGTCCACTATGTTTTCTTTGTTAGTTTCTTGATGAACTTTGCAAACTCAGAACTGCAGTTTGATATCCTGAGGATGCTTCTGATGTAATGTGCAACTTTTAAGTATAATTAAAGTAAAATTAGATAGATTCAAGGTACAGCAAGTTTTTTTCTTCTGCAGCTGAAGAATTATTCTCCCATGGGGTTTAGTTTGTATGTGACCATCTTGTTTTCATGCATCAGGTAGAAATGAAGAGTTTGGTCTCTTTGTGAGCTGGCTGAAGAGCGTACTTCAGTATTGGCAGTACATATTTCCAGTTTGAGTGAAGGAAAAGCTGCTTGAATGCTCTTTGAGCAGTGCCTCACCTTTTAGCAGCTGAACAATTATAACCTGGTATTTTGTTTGTGAAGGAGTTCTTTCTCCTGCTTAGAGGAGGAACAGTTTTCAGTATTTTGGTGTGTCAACCTAGTGGTCTTAATTGTGCAGTGAATACACTGGTTTATCGCTTAATAACATAAAAAGCGACTGTAGCCCCTCAGTGTGGGAAGAGTTCATCCGGCTGATATCTTGGCAGTTTATGAACACTGACAGGATGAGGAAATCTGTTTCCTTCCTGAAACCTTGTATCTGAGGAATATACAGACACCATTTGAGACATTTGGGGGTTTTTTTAGTTTGTAGTAGTACAGTATTGTGCTGTTCAGACAAGGATATGAAACTGCTTATTGTGAGTTGTTAAATTTTTATTAGATACGGCACATGAAAGATATATACTGACGATAAACACATCTTAAGATATATTGAAATTAAATATAATTATTGGAATTTGTAATGGTGTAATTGTCTTGGCAGCATTTTAACTGTCACTGCAATAGCTCTTTTGCAAGAATTTCTTTGAATTCAGTCCTTGCTGAAGAAGGCTTCTGTAAAGAATATGGCTGACTAGAAGCTAATTGATGTTGCAGATTTTAATTGAAAATCTGAATGCAGAAATCCCTCTTCACAAATCCGAGAAGAAACACAATTTGGAATTAAAAAAATATTTTTTCCCTCCAAGAGTAATAACCTGAAGTGCAGGATAGTAAGTTCGTACAAATGGAGGAAGACAGATCATTTTCAGAAGGTTAAAAGGATTCACGTGGAGTTTGCTGAATTGGAAACAGGTTCTAGAGTTAGCTTTTAGTAACCCAGGCTTTTCACAACCCACCTTGGTGCTCCACAGCTCTCACTAGGAAACATAAAATGAATCCCCTGGTACTGTATTGAGTACATGTAAATTTTCCTGACTTAACCCAGTTCTGTACTACTATACCAGTAATATAATAACACTTTTTTCTCAGAGCTGTCTGGAAACAGCTGTTACTGTCTTGCTGTCATTTCTTTGAGATTGCAGACCATTTCACATATGACTGACAGACATATTCCTCCTGAGCTGCAGAAAGGTATTTCTGATATGCAGCTTGCCTGAATCTGACAAATAGGAAGAGTCATTAAATAGTAAAAAAGCATATCAAGAACAAAGTAACCTGGCAACCATCCTGTCCTTGGAAGACACTGCAGAGGGGAGTAAGATACTGACCCAGAATGCATCTGCACATACCCTTATACACTCCCACTCTGAGCTGTTTAAAAACTTGACCTGCTTGTCTGATAGTGTGGTGGATTTTTGCTTAACACAGATTTCTATTGGTTTGATTTTGCTAAATCCAAAAGGTATCAGCATTTGGATAACGCACCCTCATAGTCACCTTACACTGCTCCCACTGATTTTCTAACAGGAAATACAAGGAGATCCCTCGTCCTAAACTCTGAATCTGGCGTTGCTTCAGCTGCCTTCGTTAACTTCCTTTTGATGCCCATTAAGACTTCCGTCCTCCTTGCCTTTTCTGCTTTGTTAACCTCTCTGTGCCGGCGCTTGTCCCATGCCAGCTCTTACTCAGTTTACTCCATAATCACATCTGTTTCTCTTGCCTACGTAATTTTGTGTCCAACTAGTTGCATTATTGCTGGAATTTTACTGATAACTTTTTCTAGTGCTTTTTTTCTGTAAGACTAGAATTACTGTGCTGTCCTAACACCTTGCTGATACACGATTGCTTCCACATCTTCCTTCTTAAATCTCTTTAATATGAGAATCTGTTCTTCCCTGCCAAAAAGCACCTTAGGGGAAGTATTATGCTTGTGAAATACTCATATAATGCTGCTAAAACATTGCCATGAGCTGAAATGTTGTTAGTCTTGTCCTGTCCCCTCCTTCTCTCAACTCATTTACAGTAACATAATACACATTTAACTTGGTGTTTTAACTTGGGCTCCAATGCTGTGAGTTACTGGTTAGGGAAACCTTGTTCTCATATTAGCTTGCTAGTCAGTAAAGTCCACTGAAGCAGATCTCAATAGCAGGATGAGGGCTTCAGATTGAGCACAAGTATTGTGTTTGATCTGTCCTGTATGGCTGTACAGATGTATACATATAAGTAAGCAGCTTACAGTAAGTAAAAATGTACTCAGTTGGCTTTGTCCTACATCTGCAAGGGAATCTATAGCCATAAAAGCAAAATACATCAAAAAAAATATAAAGCAAAATGCACACTGCTTCATAAAGTGCACTTTACTAGGTACTTTCCAGTACAATAAGACAGTAAAACAGGTTTTTAATGTTTCCACAATAAAAGTCTGTGAAATAGACAGTTTATAACTTCTCAAACAGTGCCTTTGTGTAGTGTCTCAGAATCAAGTGGGAAGGCTGGAGGAGGGTTCTGTCTGGGTCCTGACACGTGGACCGTCACCATTCTGGATCATTGCAATGAAGTTTCTGGTCCTGTGTGTGTTGCATTTTGAAAATACAAACCAAATCATTGTGTTTTCTGTGTTCTACAGCTCACGAAATGTGAAATAAGGCAGGAAGCCAAACAGGCAACGTAACTAAAACCTTCATTTTGGTTTCCTGTCAAACTGTTTTCTGAAACTAGTTCTGTTGACTTTTGCACCTTTTTTTTTTTAATACGGATGAGCTCATAGCTCATTTTTGTAGCAAGAAAACGAACCAAAGGATCGACATTGTGCTTAGTCACACTTTATCTGCTTCAGAATAGATTTTAATTTTTTTTATTAGTAGGTGTGTTAGGACTGACAGCTTCCACAGGGATTAAGAGTGACACTGGTTTTGCTTTAATAGATAGAAGCTCTTGACTTACATCAGAAAGTGGTTTTTAAATATTTTGAAGAATCCATTTCAACAGGAAAATAAGGAGTGGCGAGTATGCATGATTCTGCCACAAGGCATGTGATCAGTTGGAAAGCAATGAGCTCATCTGGCTGTTCAAAAGCCAAAAAGGGAAGAATCTAGCAGCTGTTTTCTTTAAAGTCAATGTGATAATGAATCACCAATGCAAAGATTTTTTTTTTTTCTGCTTGAGTTCCTGTCTTTTACTCTTTCAGTTTCTGAGCTACTGTTGCAAGAGAAAAAAATACACAAAACCAGATCCACTGAAGTGTTTTAATCAATTATTTACTGAATAAGATTGTGGCTTAGTTGTTATTCTTGGGAAATGTGCACGTTCTTGCTTGCCATTAGAAATAGCTCCCATCAGTCCACCCCAGTGCCCCTTACTGAATCATTCAGCAAATAACAAGGCTGTGTGTCATTTTACCAAAGTGCTTTGTCTGAAAAAGCGCTGACAAAAATCTGGCAGATTTTTCTGGAGGAAGTTGCGTTCTCTTTATGTCTCTGTTTGCTGTTATTCCCAGTCTTAACCTAAACAATCCAGCTAGGTAAATTAATGTATGTATTACGTGTGGTTGGTTTTGCTCCTGTGTCTGCCGTTGTGCTGTGGTTTTGAAAAGCTTCAGGTACCTCAGTCTCAACGGTGGATCTTGTGTTATGGGTTTTCTTCATGCTCTTGCTGGAGTTGCCCTAAACCAGATGAGATTTCACATACATTTTGCAGTTCTGGAGTAAGCCTGTGCTTACAAGAAGTTTTAGTCTGTATTCTTATTCATACACAGAGAATGTTTTTAATTTAAAAATCCCCTGGCTTTGTGAGAATCACAAGAGCAATCATCATCAATATTGATCATATCTGACAGCCTCTTGTTAAGTGAAATCTTTTTATTTTGTCATACAGCTGGAGTAAACAGCAACATAAATCCCACTCAGAAGCTTTTATTCAGTTAAAGAATGCAGCTTCAGAATGAATTGCATCCTATTCTCCTATTATTCAAACAAATCAGGAATGAATTGTCTTGGGAAGAGCAAAGCCTATTTAATAAAAGGACATCACTTATAGCCATTTTAGGAGGTTTTTTTAAATAAAATCAATGGATAAAGTGTTTCAGAATGTACGTCTCATAAGAAGGAAAGCAAGCTGTGCAAGGTATTCTTACATAACACCTTTAATTTGTGAGAAAATAAATACTTCACAAAATATGAAAAAATCTTGCAAGTAGCTTGACTTGCAAATTTAGAAACTACCCAGCATATTAAAGATGGTAAAATAATAAGCCATAATTGTTTATCATTTTGATTGAGTTGTTAGTAAAATTTTAATCAAACTGGTGGTTTTATTGAAAAAAAAAAAATCAGTATTATGATTGACTTCCAGAAGTAGAGGTCAGCTTGTGTTGCAGTATTACAATTTAAAGTAATAAACAGTGGTCTTCTATGCTTTTGGCAAAGTTATGGAGTGCTAATGAAATCTAAAATGGGCCCACATTGTTCATGTTAGCATCCCTACACATGGTATAAAACAAGCACTTCAAAGATATATATCTTTCTGTTTATAATGTGCTCTATGCTAATCTAAACAATGTTATTTCCTCCAAAGGGACTTGCTTTTAAAGTCAACTTTATTCTGTTCTTATTTATCAAACGAATTCCAAAGATCTAATGTTCTGGTTACAGTACAGCTGAATGTTTGACTGGTTTCATTTTCCAGGTTTGGCACATATGCAGAATAAACTTTGTACTCATCATCACTGGGATGCTGATGTGCTGCATCAGTCCTGGCCCAAAGTAGACCCAGAGTTCCTTCAGCCGCCAGATGTTGTGGAGATGTCTGTTCTGGTATGAGCGTTTTCATGTATTTTCAGTGGTGGCCAACTAATGCATTACAAGCTCAGAGGATGACAAAATTTGTGCTCTGGTGGAAGTCGGTTCCCTTTTTACGTGGCTCAGTGAAAGGTCAGCTAGAATAGAAGCTGCAATTACTATTGTGCTGAGTAATTAAAATGGTCTCCTAAATGAAAAAATGTAGCAAATCTGGAAGGGAGACAATCTAGATATAAATCTTTTTGAGTGACTGAATATTAGTACCTGTGGAGATTTGACCGATGAAGGGCTGTGGGCAAGGATAGTACAGTCAAAACTACGATCAAAATAGAGGTCCCTCCAGATTTTTTGCCAAACAGTGCCTTTAGGAACTTGGCCCTGTACAAAAATGTGTAATTAGGTGACATTTCTTGTGGCACCTGTAGTGCTTTGGTTGCCTAATGCAACCTATCATAAGCTGGGTTAAGTTGCTGTGATTTTTGCCAAATTATGTTTCCCATCTGCCTCGGGATGAACTTCTGGCACATTTCAGCAGAGCATATTTGCAGGAATGAGGTTGAAGAAAAACAGGTATCTCTGGTAATGTTCTAACTGCATTCTGGTTTCTCTTTGAGCTCTGACACCTTTGTGGTCTAGGGAAAGAGCTGGCAGTTCAGTAGAAGAGTGGACATATAACTACATATAGTCAACCGGTAATTCTCCAACGTGTGTGTGTGCACATGCACAGTGTAGGTCACTGTCTTTTTTCCCACATATCTAGTTAACTAGCCTGTGTTCAGCATGCTTCCAGGCATCGTTTATCGTTCGATAGTGCACAGTAGCAGCAAGTGCCACTGCAGGCCATAGAGGGACTGCCTGGAGCCAAGGGTGTGGGTTCCATGAGTAGTGTCTCGGCTCTTCCATCAACTGACTCCTGGTCAATTTGCATTCAAGTTCTTCATGCTTAGGCGTTATGATGGTCTGTAACGTCGTAGTTGCATACTATTAGATCTGCAGGACTCCTGCCTTTTTCATTATTCACCAAAGAATAACCTTTAATATACCATGCAGACATTCTAAACTTAAATGTTTTAAATTAAAGTAATTGTTTCAACTTAAACGCTTTTTATGTTTCTGGATATTGAAAGAGACAGAGCCTCTAGAAGAAATGTCATTTGGTCATGTAAAACTGCATGTTCCCTCTGTGTGTGTGTAAAAGAGAAACAGAAGCAATGCATTTCATCTGTATTTTATTGTGTTAGCTCCTTTGGGTAGAAGTAGTAAGGCAGTTCGGTTATTTTTGTTCAGCTGGATTTTTTTGAGGAGGGAAGAGATTGGCTGGATTTAGGGGAAGTCATGTTGCTGTAGGTTTTTGTAATCAAAGTATCTTTGCAAATAATTTCATATCTTGCCAGATCTCTCAGTTGGTCCACTTGAATAGAATGAGAAATGCTGCTAAAACACTAAAATTTTCTAACATTCAACATACCTACTTAGCAGAGGCCACAGAGTATGTATTTTTTGAGGAAATTTTCAATTGTCATGTTTTCCCAAACCAAGGAGAAGGACTTAAGTGCCAGCTGGGGTTAATAGCAGACTTAGCCTAATATTTACTGTGGGTTTATTGCTTGCTTGCTTGCTTGCTTGCTTGCTTTAAGTGATAAGCATTTATTTATACAAGTAAAAAGGTCATATATCCACGAAAATCTTCATGGAGGTATGATCACTTTGCTCAAGTTTAAAATAAACCTTCACCTTCAAGCACAGCTAGCAAACATCTTAAATGCCAGTGTTCAGTTTAAAAGGAAGTCATGAATGAGAAATTGTGTAATTATAGAAACTTCTCTGCAATTGTGGTTAAAGCAAACATGTTATTAAACTTATCTTTAAAATAAAAATTTCAGCAATACAGGGAAAATTCTGAACTCAATGTTTTTAAGACTACACAACTGAACGTGAAAATGCCTAAGCATTTCACTGATATTTTTCTGCTGACATTAAAAACTTACTTCTCAAAAAAAAGAAACCAGAAAAAGAAAAATTAATTTTGCTTTAAACAACTGTTATGAAAATTATTTTTGTTTCTTTTCCTGGTTGACTTTGTCAAAGCCATAGCCTTGAGTAGAAGTCTTGTAATAAGAGAAAAAGCAACCCCTGTGTTCTCAGCCATATATTCATGAAAGAATATGACGTATGTAGACACCTTCCTTAGTTCTGAGAAAGTGAGGTCTGGAAGACCAGAGAGACAAGTTCGTTTTTTGAACTGGGAATAATTCTTAAAAATAGTGCCTAGGGGGTGTGCCTGGCTTTTTGCCATTAGAGTAAGGCAGAAGGGAAATACGGAGGAGCAGGGAGAAGTCACCATAAATGTGAATATTTTAAAGTCTTGTGAACACTGTAGGTTTTTGTATGGCTGTAAAAATAAATTGCCCTCATTAAACCAAGAAACACTCGACATATGGATGAATTGGTTAGTTGCAAAGAGGCAGTGTCTCTTCACAAGGCTGCACAGTCAAACTGAGTCTTTGGGCCACAACCCTATTCTTCTCAAGACATCAAACTGCCTCAGGGATTTGCCTGCTGAGACATTATGGTTTTATTTCTCTTGACACAAAATACTTCATTATTTCCTGTCTGTGCTGGAGTTATGGCTTTCCATATTTAACCCAAAGCAGCAAAAGCAACCAACTCACTGCATCCTTGGCTGATACAATACAGATTGCCTACAAGACGGACATTTAAATTCACTGGATATGCATGGTATCTGTTACTCTAAATGTTACTGCAAAGTTGAATGTTTTTAATCGTACCATATATTGTTAATGCTGTAAAAAATCTGAACCTGAATGTAGTGTGCATTTTATCCTATGGACATGCTTCTGACTAGCATTCCTCACATTTTCTAGGTGGTGCAGAACTGTTAGCAGCTGTGGTCTTATGACTGATGTTTTTATAAAACAAAGTTGGTGTCATGTTTCTTGCTTTGGCGTATGAAGAAGGCCTAACAGTGCACAGATTTTTATTTTGCTTTACTTCTCAGAAGGATTATGCATCAATGGTAAAAAAATATTTGAGTTGAACTAAAAATTCCTCTCTGCAGCCTCCAGGTGCTTATTTTTCAGTCTTTTGTGATTTCATTTCATCCTTCATAACCTCTCCAGTTCCCTCTAGCTCCCTTTAGAACCAAAATAGTCTAAAATGTCAAATGTAAAAAAAAAAAAAAAAAAAAAAAAAAAAAAAAAAAAAAAAAAAAAAAAAAAACCCCC